GGGGGGTGGGGGAAGGCAGGAGAGAGCCACACCAGCCCTCAGTCCCATTGTAGGGCAGGGGGGAGAATGAGTGTGATTTCTTTTTTCTTCCTTTCTTAATTTTTATTTATACATTTTTAACTTTACGACAACAGTAGATGGAAAGATAGACAAATTCAGTGATACAGTTTTAGTCTACAGTACTAGGTTATAGGTCATGTCACTCAATAGTCAAAAATGCACTTGTAAATTTCGTCTGTAATTCAATTGCAACATAACTTCTGTAAACTGAACAGCAGGGTAAATGCTATAATTAAAATATTGCTGTAATTTCTTTGGGGTATCTATGGGGTATTGAGGAAGTAGGTACAGTAGTATTCTCAAACTGAGGCCTCAATGAAAGGGAGCCATTTAGAGTAGAAGAGGGATTGCGATTTGTATTCATTGTTGGGAGGGATAGAAATTGTGATTTTCCCCATAGCATATAATACCCAGACTTTGACTGGCCATTGATGTAGCGTGAGGGGATGGGATTTCTGAATGTGGGGTCTGACATTTCCTCTGACCCGCTTATATGCTGACAGCTGCCACTGTGCCTTCAGAAGTTTAATTATAATAGATCCAGATTTTGTTATGTAACCTTGAATCTTTTGATTAGAGAAGCTTATAGTAGAATATATAACTGCAACTTTTCTATACGAAGCTATATATATTAAGGGAAAGCATTATTAAGAGGCCTGTGGGGTTAGAATTAGGATGCAATAAGGATGGAATGTGTATCCAAGAAGCCGCAAGGACCTTGAGAGCAAAGTTGAGATGTGAATCACAACCCTCATCACCCAGCAGCTCCACGGACACAAGGGAAACAAGAGGGACTGGCTTCACTAAGGTCCGAAAGGATCTCTGTGTTCCCGAATGCTCCCACTGCTCTGAAGAGCAGATAAGCAGATGCAATCCCTGACCATGCATGAGGGACCAATAGTAAGGTTTAAAGTCAAATGATGCTTGTATGATGTTAACGGCTTGGTACCAGTTAGAGATTCTTTAATGTGTAAACGATGTGTGATGTCATTTGGGGTAGAAGACCTTCGGCCCTTCCTGGTTATGGCAGAATACAGCTTTGGAATGGCTGAGGTCCCTGTTTTCAATGCATTAAACAGATACTCATCTAACTCAATGGGCTCAGACTGTGTGTTTCCAATTTGGCACGCGAGCACGCAGGCACGGATTTGTGCATCACCATGGGGAGGTCTCAGCTGTGAGGTGGGTGTGGTGATTCCTTGTGTTAGAGTGTGTGTGTGCTCTTTTTGTAGCAGGAACTCCTCTGCATATTAGGCGACACACCCCTAATGTAGCCAATTCTCCAAGAGCTTACAGTAGCCCCTGTAAGAAGAGCTCTGTAAGCTCTTGGAGGATTGGCTACATTTAGGGGTGTGTCGCCTAATATGCAAAGGAGTTCCTGCTACAATGGGGTGGCAGTGCAGAATGCAGAGTAGAATAATGGAAAGGGACATGTGGCAGTGTGGGAGGAGTTATTCTGTGCGGGTGTGTCAGTGGGAGATTGGAGAATGACAGTTGGAATAATGACCGTTGGTGCAGTTGAATTTCAGTCTGGGAGACCTCTGACAATGGCTGCGTGGAGTCAGAGAGAGAGAGACTAAAGAATCTGTGTGGGATCCGAGAAGGATCAGTATATGTGTGTTAAAGTGCTACAGTGGACAAGAACATTTACAGAAACCTTATTCCCAACCAGTTAAATAATTACCAACTTCTTATTTTGTTCCTCTTTCAATACATCTTATTTAAAAATATCCCAGAATTCATATCAATTCTTCCTCTGGACCACAATAGATCCCTGAAAAGCCTTGCGCCTGTGTTATCCTTCCAATAAGAGAAACAGGTTTGGAAATCCTGAAATTCCTGGTGGCAGCCGAATCTACCCAGTTTTACAGAAAGAGCACATTTAAAGAGAAACACAGTCCTCCCCAATGGGAGGTCGTCACACTGGGCTCCAAAGGGCGGGAATGCAATAAAACTGGAGAGGCAGAGGGCAGTCGAAGCTGCCTCTTCGTGCCCTTTTTGGCAGCCAAGACGTTGAATATGAATATGAGAGTGAACTGATCCATTCCCGGTGTTATACGCACAGTTTATGAAACACGTTGTACTCTGCCACTGACTAACAGGTTGAACTTAATAGGTGAAGGGAAGTGTTTGTAAGCCACTCTGAGACTTCAAGTGAAGGGCGGGGTATAAATCCAATCTCCTCTTCTTCTTCACTTATGATAAGTGCCATTTATGATTCTAACATCATGAATGTTTTCAGGTATTAACTTTGGTTTATTTGTGACTGCTGTTTGGATGCATGCTGGGAAGGTAAAATGCTGACGCTTGTGACCTTGCTTATTATGGCCAACTGTAACTGCGCATGTCCCTGATGTCAGGAAGCTTGCGTTAGATGGAAACCATACTACACGATATACCCGTATCTGTTACATTAGATACTTTTCATCACTTCATAGCCTGGGAAGAAGAAGGCCCATTGTTCAACTGGAGGTCTATTTTTTGCCTGAGAAAGTCCAACCTACAG